GCAAGGAAAGATACAATACAATGCAATTCATTACCATGCTTGCTTGCTCCTGCATCGCAAGCAACAAAAAGATAATGGGTTACATGGGAGATGTGTGCACACAGCATATGAATCATTTTCTGGAACATGTGAAAGAGAAAGCAAATCACAACATAATCTGTAGAATGGAAAGAGGAGGGGGATTCACCTGCCCACTTCTCTTCCCCTTTCTTCTTCCCACAGGTCAAGTTTCACCTTACAAGGAGCTGACTACCTTTCCTACCCATGCGTTTCGGGGTTGCATCATCTGGCTTTGGGGAGCCCCTCACAAAGCCAAATCCTATCACCCGTGTGTAATGTTACACCCACATTTGGAAGCGGCGAGACCATTCATTGTTAACAGGGCTTGGCAGAACCAGTAACGAGGGCTATGAAAGTCTGGGCTTTCCACTGACTCCGGCCAAGTGACAGAGCTCGACAAGATCACCAGCAAAGGGAGCAGTTCAGTGAACACTAGAAGTGGGCGGTGCCTTTAGAAAGAAGGATGTGGTCACAAGAACCTGAGGAACTGGGGCGCCTGGGTGCCTCAGTCGGTTGAGCGTCCTATTTGGCTCAGGTCATGATCTCCAGGTTTTGTGAGTTCCGGCCCCGCATCAGGCCCTCTGCAGTCAGTGCAGAGCCCACTTCTGATCCTCTATCTTCCTCTTTCTCTGTTCCTCCCCTGCTCATGTGGATCTGGGCACACGTGCTCTCTCTCTCTCTCTCTCAAAAATAAACATTAAAAAAAAAAAAAAAAACCTGAGGAACTGCACAGGGTTTGTGCCCAACACAGTATGCACATTTTCAGCTTTATCTGATATTGCAAAATTATTCTCCAAAGTGTTTGTACCAATTTATAGTGCCACCAGGAGTCTCTAAGAATTCTAATTGTTCCATAACCTTGCCAAAACTTAGTATCAAGCTTCGGAAATTTACCTAATCTAATGTCTACGTAATGGTATTTCACGTTGACTACTTTTCATTCACTGAAAATCTTTTCCAGTCTTCCTTTCATGTGTCTTTTACATACCGATTTGTAGAAGTTCTTTAAATCTTCTGAATAAGAATCCTTTTTATATGTGGTATTTTTTGACGAAGAGAAGTTTCCATGTTAATATAGTCAGATATGTCAATTCTTTCCTTTACTTCAGAGTTTTATTAGGAATGGCTACTGACATTTATCAATTATCTCTTTTAACTCTATTGGTATGATACTATTTCTTAAAATTTTTAATATTTTGAACAACACAGTTTTAAAATGCATGGATCCACTTATATGTGCAGTGTTTTTTGTTTTGTTTATTTTTGATAGAGAGAAAGACAGAGAGAGAACGAGGGAGGGGCAGAGAGACAGGGAGATAGAGGATCCTAGTGGAGGCTTCTAGGCACTCTCTGCACTGTTAGCACAGAGCCTGACGTGGGGGGTCGAACCCACAAACCGTGAGATAGATCATGACCTGAGCCAAAGTCAGCTGCTTAACCAACTGAGCCACCCAGGAGCTGCAAATTTTTTGATAAATACAATATTGTACTGGAAATGGATTCTCTCTCTCTTATGGTTTTCTTAATGACATTTTCTTTTCTCTAGCTGACTTTATTGTAAGAGTTCAGTATGTAACACATACAGCATACAAAACATGTGTTAACTGACGGTTAATCAGTAAGGCTTCTGGTCAACAATAGGCTAGTAGTAGTGAAGTTCTGGGGAAGTCTAAGGTCATACACAGTTTCAACTGCACAGGCATGGGAACCTCTATCCCCTGAATTGGTCAACTGTCCACTATAACTATATTGACGGTTTTCCTGATATTGACTCTTTTCACTCCTACAATAAATCCTAAGTGGGTATTCTTTATTATTAATAGAATATATTGCTGGATTGTATTTATTAATATTTTGTACAATGTTTTCTATCTCTATGCCTCAGTGGCAAATTCTCTAATTTTATTTTTTGTAGTATTCTTATTAGATATTGGTATTAACACCAGCTAGATTCATAAAATAATTAGATTTCCAGCTTTTCCATGCTGCCTAATGCCAAAGGCCTTAGTTTAATTATGTATAACTATATAAGCCTGCCTCCTAAAATTCTGTTGCTTTTCTGTAAATTTACTTCATCTCCTTTCAAATTCCTCAGTTCCAAAACACTCTGTCCAGGATACAGTTTGAAAACATCCCTTCTTGAGGGACCTCGCAAAATATACCTTTAACTTGGGGCTCCTGGGTGACTCAGTCAGTTAAGCGTCCAACTTCGGCTCAGGTCATGATCTCACAGTTCGTGGGTTCGAGCCCCGCATCGGGCTCTGTGCTGACAGCTAGCTCAGAGCCTGGAGCCTGTTTCAGATTCTGTATCTCCCTCTCTTTCTGACCCTCCACTGCTCACGCTGTCTCTCTCTCTCTCTGTCTCATAAATAAATAAAACATAGATATATATAGATAGATAGATAGGTATCTATCGATCGATCGATCGATCGATCCATACCTTTTACTCTAGTAAAAAGGCATCCCTTCAAAAGTAATCTCAGCAGTGTTTGCTTAACATACAGTTTGCTTAACATAAAGTTTGCTTAACATACAGATAGCTATATGTGTAACTGGGCCTCAAAACCAAAGACTTAAAAGACATGATTTATAGCATTTGCTAATAAGCTACCATGACAAATTTCAAACTACCAAAATGATGATCACTGAACATCGACTTAGAAAGAAATGCCCACAGTTGCCTCCTGGAAGCCAGTCAGTACCCGTGAATCAAGGTGCTTTCTCCACACTGCTACAGAACTATGCCAGTCTGTGGAGGAATAAAATGTTAAACAAAGAAAGTTGGACTTTACCCTGTAGATAACAGGAAGACCAGTACTGCCCTTTGACCCCAGCAAGCAGAGCTCCTTTTCTGGATCCTAAGCCTCGCAGCCTCCCCTCCCCACTATCCATGCTTTAGAGTGCCTTTTCAAAATTTGCCAAGTCCTCGTTCAGTGGCTGGGATTAACTAAGGCCCCCACGCCCATTTCTTCAGATCATTCTTCAACACCTACCTGCCGTGTTTCCCCACTCTGCCCCTTCCCTAAATTGAGTTGCCCAGATTATCTAAAGGAGCTCCAGGACTCCTATCTGTGGAATTATAACGGGGGCTCCATCGTTGCGCCTATAGCCAGCTCTGTTCCAGAAAGGTGCCTGTCGAGAGTGGTTTATTATTTTGTGGGATCCCACAAGGTTGAGCTGCCAGAATAAGGGAGACATGCTGATTTGGGGTAATTTAAATTGTTTACATGGACAGAGATTCTTCCATTGAAAAAATTCTTGGGGCACCTGGATGACTCAAGGGGTTAAGCGATGGATTCTTGGTTTTGGCTCAGGTCACGATCTCATGGTTCATGAGTTTGAGCCCCTGGTTGGCCTCTGCCTTGTCAGGGTAGAAACTGCATGGGATTCTCTCCCTCTCTCTTTTTCCTCCTCCCCCTTGAGCGTGCATGTACATTCTCTCTCTCTCTCAAAAATAAATAAATAAAATTTTTAAAAATTCTTGCTTTTCACAATTAAGCCAGATATAGAGCCATAGCATTAGTGCTAGAACCGTGTAAAAGAAATGAAGGAAGATGGCTGAAATGAAATGTAGGCTTGAGGACTGACCAATACACCAGTGTTAGAGCAGGATGGGGAAGAGACACTGATGTAAATCCTCTACCTGGAAGTCACATGAGAAGCCCAGTAAACAATTCTCTAAAGAAGCCAGCGTAGAAAGAGAAAAGCAGAGGAGAAGGTTCAAACTTAACGTTTAACCACATTTGGGAAGTGAAAGAAAAAAAGCAATTGTGGAAAGTAGATGGAAGAATAGACAGTCAAAAGGTTAAGACGGTTAAGGATCTGGAGCAATCTTCATCAAGTACTGTTTGTTTTATTATTTTGTCTTTAAGTCATGCTCATGGTAAAAAAAAAAAAAAAGAATTAACATAGAAGTTTATAAGATAAAATGATAAAAAAACTGTTTCTAGGAGCATTGCTTATAAAAACACTGAAAAAATAAATTATGGTTAGAATGCAGAACTATACACCAACAAATGTGTGAGTATGTGCAACAAAATATATCTATTCTCACAAATAGAAAAAACAAACAAAAAAATAAAAGTTGAGAGGAAAATGCCAGACACAAAGAATAAAATTCACATAGAGCTCCCAAACAGGCAAATTAATCTATACTTTTGGGGAGGCTGGGTGGCTCAGTCAGTTAAGCATCCGACTCTTGATTTCAATGCAGGTCTTAATCTCAGGGTTGTGAGTTCAATCCCCACACAGGGTTCCATGCTGGGCGTGGAGCCTACTTTAAAAAAAAATCTATACTTTTTGGAGCGCCTGGGTGGCTCAGTTGGTTAAGCATCCAACTTTGTCTCAGGTTACGATCTCGCAGTTTGTGAGTTCGAGCCCCATGTCGGGCTTTGTGCTGACAACTCGGAGCTTGGAGTCTGCTTTGGATTCTGTGTTTCCCTCTCTCTCTATCCCTTCTCCTCTCACACTCTTTGTGTGTGTCTCTCTCTCAAAAATAAATAAACATTTTTTAAAAATCTATACTTTTAGTATTCAGGACAGTTGTTTGCCTTTGGGAGAAGGGAGTACGATTGGGGGAGAATAAGAAGAGTTTGGAATATTGCCGTCCTATCTCCTGGCTTGGGGGTGGTCAGAGGAATTGGTTCCCCTTGTGACAATTCACAAAATCATTGCTCTGTAGACTTAAAATGTGTGTACTTTTGTGAATACAAATACTATATTAATCTGGAAGTTTGTTTTTTAATGTAAAAGATACCACCAACTTTCCAGGCCAACCAGAGCCTCCAGTCTTAATCCCTGCAGGGAAACAGTATTAACAGTATTATCATCCATTTCTGTTCACGTATTCTAGACAGTGCCATGCCAAATTTCATTTCTGTCCAGTCGAAGTTAACCATTTTGTTAGTACAGATAAAATGAGAAAAAAATAATCCCCAAAATAACGTGAATTCATTCCCTAAAGTTTAATTAGGGGGATTCTCTCAGCGGAGCACATTTGCTCAAGAGACATACCTCTCATCCTTGGTCATGCAGAGAAGAGAAATGCAGTGACTGCATATAAATGAATGACAAGATTGAATTTACAACTAAGGAAAAGGAGATATTGCATGAAGCTAACACCTGACACAGAAAGGGCAGAAAGTGGAGCATCTTAACATTTATAAACATTTGCCAATATAGAACCCTCCATATAATCTATAATCCTCTACCTAATAGCTTACCATAGCAACAACATAAGTGGTTAAAAAAAAATAAAAATAAAAACACTATATCCTAATGGGGCTGTTCCTGAATTTTGATGAACACTGGTGATATTGCTATGAACAGCAGGAAAACAAAAGTATCATGTTTTGGCAAATAGTTTTGCAAAACCAAGAAGTAGAATGGCAAATACCACAGAAGTTGTAATAGGAAGCTGGAGCTGAAAAAGAAAATTACAGATTAACATTTACCTACACAAGTGAGTGCAGAGATTTTTTTATAAAAACAGAGAAGTAATTATTAAATAGACTATCTCTAAACACAGAAGACAGCAACATCAATACATTCTAATCAATAAATAAGTTCATTGTTCTTCCCTATGTGAAAATGCATGTTCTTTTTGAGCAGCCATTTGTACATTTACAGAATTCTATTTTTATGGCTACCAGCAGAGGACCATCTTAGCTAACAAATCTCAGAATGAGGATCCTTGACAGTGAAGTTCAACTTTGTATTTCTTAAGATGACAGCTGGTGCATGGTTCCTCTGAGAGTCCAATTTAGCACTTTTAGTAGAGGAAGGTACTTCAGTACACGTGCACTTCCGTGCTCCAAAATTAATTGCGTCTTTCCTTTACTCTCTAAGGCTTATGGAGAGAACTTGGAATTTTAAAAATAATGTAAGCATTTGTCCTATAAAACAACAGATCAGCATGGTTCAAAATACGCAGTGACCCAGGACTGAGTAATAGCATCTTGGCATTAGAAGAAAATTTAAAAGTCATGGAGTAGTATTTGTTAGATTTTGCCTGCCATCAACCCCATTCACTTGCTAGGAACATCCTAATTGTCCTTTGGAGAAACACCTTCGTCCCTACTCTGAGCTCCTACAGTTCAAGTCTGGGCACTTCCCCTCCATTCTGGGTCCATAAATGGGCATATGACCCCGGTTTGGACATTTGATGTATCCCATTGTCCTGGCCCTACTGATTGGTTGTTCCGAGTCTACACACATGTGCCATTCGAGGCCAGTAGGAGGCAACCACAGAATTTCTTACTGAAATTATAGAGAAAAAGATGTTATCTTTCACCTGGAGTGATTAAGTCATAAGAGTATAATGGAAAATTGTCAAAGGGCCAGCACATGAAGGCCTGATTGAACATAAAACCAGCAGACTAGAAAATAAAAAATTAGAGAATCCTGATGATCTCATTTTGGCTCTCAGTCCAAATGCACGTGAAAACAGTGGTTATAAATTGTATCATCAAAATTCCTATGTTGAAGCCTTAACCATCAATGTGACTGTATTTGGAGATAAGGCTTTAAAGAGGTGATTAAGGCTAAATGAGATCATAAGGGTGGGCCCTCATCCAATTTAACTGTCCTTTTAAGAAGAGAAAGAGACACTAGGAATGCAGGCGCACAGACAAACGGCCAACTAAGGACACAGCGAGAAAATGACCATCTGCAAGCCGAAGAGAGAGGAGAAACCAAATGGATGACACCTTGATCTTGGACTCCCAGCCTACAGAACTAAATAAATACATTTGTTTTTTAAGCTGCCCATTCTGTGATAATTTGTTACCATAGCGCTAGCATACTAAAACAAATGCCGTCCCTGGACACTTACAAGAGTTAATATATTACCTTTTTGGTATAATACAATTTAAGGTACAATTAAATTTCATCTACAATTTAGATTCTTTTTTTTAATGTTTATTCCTTTTTTGAGAGAGAGAGAGACAGACAGAGCATGAGGAGGGGAAGGGCAGAGAGAGAAGGAGAGATACAGAATCTGAAGCAGGCTCCAGGCTCTGAGCTGTCAGCACAGAGCCCAACACTGGGCTCGAACTCATGAACCATGGTTTGTGACCTGAGCTAAAGTCAGACGTTTAACCGACTGAGCCACCCAAGAGCCGCTGGTCTTATAATAGAGACATAATGGCTTCAAATGGTATGAGGAAAACAGTATTAAAAACAACCGACCCTAAAACGTGGAACTGGCTAATTGAGGTGGGGTGAGGGGCACGGTAGTAAGGATTGTCCCATTCCCTAGACAGGAATGATTATCAATTTTTGCTTTTGGATAGGAAAGTGAGTCGTTAAACTGCTGCCTATTTTATCTTACGACTTTCCATGTACCAAACAAACCAGGCTGGATGTTTAGAGACTTGATAGAAAATATGTTCAGAGAACCTGAGAGAGTGTTCATTATGTTGGAATGTTTACTTTCTGGTAAGGTCCAATGAGGAAGAGCCAAGCTTTGAAGCTGGTCTGTTTAAAAACAGGAAAGATAGAAAATACAGTTTTTCCTATGGTTAATAATCCAAGAGGTGCCTGGGTGGCTCAGTTGGCTAAGTGACCGACTCTTGATTTCGGCTCAGGTCATGATCTCATGGTTGGTGCATTCAAGCCCCACATCAGGCTCTGTGCTGACAACACGAAGCCTGCTTGGGATTCTTTATCACCTTCTCTCTCTGCCCCGCCCCTGCTCATGCGTGCTCTCAAAAATAAATAAACCTTTAAAAATAATAATAATAATCCAAGATGGCTGACAATCTTGGCTTTCCTGGACTAGAACATCAAAATTTTATACTTGAAGCCAAAGTAAATGCTAAGGAAACCAAGACACTGAATCCCACGGATGCCCAGTCACTTCCTATTATTCATTCCCTGCTTGACAAAGGGACAATTGTTCTAATTGCAAAGAGCCCCTAGCTGGAATGTAGCCAGAAAAGAAAGGGTTGATTAGCTCTGTCTCCTCACCTCAAGGCCATGCTAGAAGTCAAAAAGCTACAAGCTAGTGGGTGGCCAGGCACCAATGTTTGTTTCTAAAAGAGAAGAAAAAAAGAACTCTGGTTTCGATCATAAGCTTAGGGAAAGTGAAAAGGAAAAAAAAAAAGTACGATTATTATAAGGGAGTTATATTACTTTAGAAACCCCAGTCCTGGCAAACAAAACCCTATGATTACTCAATCCCTAAGGCAATTAATACTCAGGTCCCCCAAACCTTCCCCAAAGGAATTTCGCTGGCAAAAAAGTAAATAAATAAAAGAATCTTCCCTAATGACCACCTCAACTGCAACCACATAAGGAAAAGGGAAGGCTTTTCAGATAACAGAACCTATGACAAACAGACCAAGGAACTCACACTACTGTTAAGGCAAGAATTTCTGCTAATCCTGTTTTTCAGGATATGATATGTGCCACCGACCAGTAGCCATTATACATTGTCTCCCTTTCTTCTTTGAAAATGGTAGCTTTTAATTACGGTAATGCTCTCTTCCTTTCATAATTGTGCAATAGATGTGTCAGGATGCTCAAAGATACTATGTAGCTAAATTCCAAAATCATGAGAAGGTACTTTTAAGTCCAAACAAAAGGAATTGGTGACATTTAGATGCTGTGAACTTTGAACAGGACAGGTTACTAAAGGACAATCTAAGTCACTGTCCCTTGGAGACGACTGTTTGTTTTTTGTTCATGTGAATGGCTGCATTATGTTAAATGGGCAAACCAGAGTCTGCACAGTGTGGAACAGCCAAGGGGTTGACTGTTGTGAGCATCAGGTTCTTATTTGCCTGTCCAGGATGTACTGTCCCAATCCCACTTTCAATGCATGTACTTCAAGTGAGGCTGCCTCCATTTCCAGCCCTAGCTCACAGCGGGCACTTGACTGGCCAGGCCTATATTCCATCCTCCCACTCACAGCCAGTTCAAATGATCTGGAGATATGTCTGGACTGGAATGCTAAACCATATGGAGAGTAAAGCCCTTCTTTGGCTGCAGTTGCTTAAGCTGTAGAATGGAAGTCTAGGGGTGCCTGGGTGGCTGAGTGAGTTAAATGTCTGACTCTTGATTTCAGCTTAAGGTCACGATCTCATGGTTCATGAGTTCAAGCCCCCCATCAGGCTCTGGGCTCACAGCACAGAGCCTGCTTAGGATTCTCTCTCTCTCTCTCTCTCTCTCTCTCTGCCCCTCCCCTGTTAGCTCTCTGTCTCAAAATAAATAAACGATAAACAACAAACAAATAAATAAATAAAATTTAAGTCTACAGCTGAGCTGCAAGGGGCCAATACCTGGAAATACCCTGCTTCAGAATGAAGCCATTACCCACTGAAATCATTTTAGCTCAAACACCTAGCTGTGCTTGAAGCAATTCTATTCCTGAATGTTTCAGCTATGTTATCTGACATATCCTCTTTTTAAGTCAGTTTCAGGAGATTCTGATACTTACAAGTAAAACGAGTTTTGATTAATACGGTCATTTAGGTAAATTCTCCCACCCAAGGGTGAATACCTTGTTCTTCTCATATTCTTGTCAGTGCTGCTAACGTGAGGTGGGCTTGATTTTGTTTCTTGGGAAAAAAAACTGGTAAGAGAAAACAGATAAAACCAATATAATCTCAAGCTTGCTTTTCACCATTCTAGTGCATTTTGGACCCTACAAAAACTGCTATAATTCTAGCTTCTAACAATACTGAAGTCCTCAGAACGGACTTAAAATAAAATGTTGTTTGAATGCATTTAGCAGAATTTTGTACCACAACACAAGTGGGGTGAGACTGTAATATTGCAGGGAAAAGAATCAGAAGTCTGGTCCAAAAATGTATTTTACTATCCAGACATGAGGAAAGTGACATAATTATGCTGTTTTCAAAATCTGGAGCAATTCTTTGTGAGAAAGAGGTTTTGTAAGGATGTGAGAAATTGCTGTCAGTTGCTTCTCTAGTTCTCCAGTCAGGGTAACTGGTTTATAACTCAGAGTTATTTGATGTATTAAGGATCATACTGGAGACTAGAGGGAAAGCTATGAAGATGTGATTTGTAGATCCAGACTCATTAGAAATCTAAGTATATAAACGAATGTGATGATGGGTGAAGACGAAAAAGAAGTTTTGACTCTCGTAACATCCTTTGTTCTCTAACGCCTTAGGGCCACCTCATTCCTGCACCCCCTGCAGTTTGGTTATATGAGCCAATAAAAATCCATTTTTCTCTTAAGCTGCTTTGATTTGTGTTTCTGTTCCTTGCAACCAGAGAATCTTAACTATTGAAAAATGGCTTTTCATTACTCCTGGGATTAATTTCAGAATCCTTGACTGACCACAGTCTTGCTTCAGGTCACTCTCTCTTACCAGACTCCAACTGCTGGGGAATCTTACAGTTCCCTGAACACCTTGGACCCTTTCTACCTCAGGGCCATGGCATGCCATTCTCTTCTTCCTAAAATGATCTTCTTAAGCCTGCTTAATCTTCAGATTTCAATATAAAGATCACAAAGGGGGAAAATCTCAGATTTTCAGAATGTATCCCTTCTGTGTGGATCTTAGAATCTTGTCGTCATTTGGTGGAGGGGGGAGGGCGTTTTGTTTTGTTTTTTGCCTTCAGAGCATTCATACCATTTGTACGCTTACTTTCTCATCCTCTGTCTCTCTATCTAGACCATAGTCTCCTATCCATATCAGTTTTGCTCTTCACTCTGTTCTCTTAATCAAGCACAGGCAAGTAACAGGGGCTCAACAGACACCATACGACCGCCATACTTTTCTGGAGAGTAATTTACTCCTGCTGTTGCTTTTTCCACATCTCTTATTGTATCAGAGTTCAACCAAAAAAGGAAAACCACCACAAAGTATATACTGCATATATACTAATACATATATATATATATATATACACGAATATATAAACTAATACATATATATGTATATCTCACACACACACACACATAGATTTTCGATCATTATGAGATCTAGGTGAATAGTCTCTGTAAGGTTGTTGGCTTCTGTCTGGTGCTGGTGTGTGACAACGCGGGTCAAGCAGTTGGAAAGAGAAGATGGATATAAAATAGGGGAGAGCAAGGACAAGCCAGAGCCCACGAGCACAAACCAGAACACCTGTCGGTTCTCACTGCCTGCAGCCCTGGTGACGGGAGAGGCTGGTACTCTTTGTCACAGAGTTAAACATGCAGTGGCCCAGGAGTCAGAGGAGCTGAGGGAGGCTCCGGAGGAGGGCGGGGCAGGTGCAGCCGGGCAGCTGCACCACAAGGAGGTGAGCCAGCAGCCAAGAGACAACTTATAGGAGCTACAAACGCACCCGCCCCCATCTTCTGAAATAAAACCCAAAATGACTGCTGTGCCCCTCTGGGCATCAAAATCGTCCACATTAGTATCTCTTGTGGCCCATCCTTAGGCTGAAACATACAAGGAATGAAAGTCGGAGAAATTAAGCCCATCTGACATTACAAAGTGACCACATTCCTTTAATCCAAAGTGGCTCTTCCCTGAAAAAGTTCATGAACAACATTCTAAAATTAATCCCAGCGATGTTTTCATAGTTCTCATTGTCCTCAGCTTCTACCATATTGGACACTCAGGACCATACTTTCCCTTGTGAAATCACCTTTCCCATTTTCTTTTTTTTACTTTTTAAGTTTATTTATTCATCTTGAGGGAGAGCGTGTGTGCACACATAAGTGGGATAAGGGCAGAGACTGAGAATCCCAAGCAGGCTCCATGCTGTCATCACGGGCCCAGTGCGGGGCTTGTACTCACGAACCATGGGATCATGCATGACCTGAGCTGAAATCAAGAGTTGGATGCTTAACTGACTGAGCCTCCCGGGTGCCCGCCTTCCCTATTTTCTTTAATCAAACTATGCTCTTATGACGTCTCTCTCTTTCCTTGCATCATATAAGATATGGCTCCTTCTTCTCTTCCTATCCCTAAGCGTAGACAGATATTCACCACTATTCTGTGTTCTCCCCCTTCTTCCCTCACATTTTCATTTGCCCTATCATTTCCCCAGCTTTAAGTAGTAGTCTCTCCCCGCCTCCAGGGACCTCCCCTTTGGATATAATGAACAGGACTTGGGACGTTGGAGTCTAACAGCCCTGGATCCAAATTCCAGTGGTGCCACTTACTGCCGCCTGACCCTGGACAAATTAAACTTTCTGAGTGTCTCTGAAACTTCAGTTTCTCTAAAATAAGATAAATAGTGCCTGGCTATCCTACCGAGAGGGCATGCAGTAGCCTTCTGGTAACTGTTTGGTTACCTGCATGTCTTCCCTTTGCTTCCCCGTTCCATCCTCCAAACTGCTACTAGAATCATTACATTCCTGCTTAAACCTAGAGTGACCAACTCACCCAGGGACTTTCCCCGAGTCCTGTGTAAACCCACAATTCTTCAGTGGCTCCACTTTGCCTGTCATAGTTATAGCACTATGTTAATTCCAGGGTGTTCTGAGCATGCTTCTGTGGCTTCTGTAAATAAACGTATTGGAATTCTACAAAATGTCTATTTTTTTAGACGGAGTGCTGAGGCAAAACCCCAGGAAGAATGAGTACAAACACCACTGCACCGCACCCAAGACTTAGCAATCTAGCGTGCGTGCTTCTCCAACCTCACTTCCCAATGCTCTCCCCTTTTTACTCTCTACTCCACTCACATGGCTTCTTATACAACATTCCCAGTACAACGTTCCATTTCAGATCACTGTGCCCTTAAACTCCATTCCCACTGACAGACACGTCCCTCCCCAGCCTGTCATAGCGCACACTCCTATGGCTTCAGTATCCAGCGCTAGCTACACGGCTGTTATCTTCCTCAAGACTGCTTCTTCTCCACTGCCTTCTCAGCTCGTCATCTGAGATAATCACTCCCGACACTGCAACAAACTACAGCTTGAACTTATCTCGATTACAGCCCTTAGAACAGTGAGTAACAATTTGAGGTCTCTTTCTGTCTCTCTGTGTAGCTATGAATTCCTAGAAAGGACTTGTGCTTTCTCTATGAGGACTCGGGCAAGTTGCCTAGTCTCAGTTTTCCCCTTCCAAGTTCTGTGGAAGGATTATGGTATATTGCATATGCCAAAACACAAAACAAAACAAGAAACCCTCACAATTGTAGAAACTCAATAAACTTATTTTTAAGTATTGTTAAAATCAGTAACTTCTTCTATCTGAACCTCCCCCTCTCTTTTCAGACTTACTTCTATTACTCATCGTTCATCAAGTAGTCCAGCCAGAAGCTCCCTGTATGGCTCCCATTACTTCTTCAAGGTTCATCTCAAAGAAAACTGCTAAGGGGACGAAGAAGAAGGGGAGAAAAAAATCCCTATTTCCTCTACTCTGATAGTAAAAGCATAAATTTCCTTTGAAACGTATACTATCTGTACTTACAGCCTAACACTACATATCGTGACCTTTTAAAACAGCGCTATTCAAAGACTGTAAAGATATGTTGCACTTTTGCAACCACAGACATATATGCGATCCTTGGAAATGTTATGTTAAGCTGAACAAAATAAACCAAAACACTACTGTCTTTTGAGCCTTATCACAGTACTTCCTCAGGTTCAAGCCAAAATTCCTTGTGAGAAGACAATAGGAAAGATAATATTTCATATGGAGGTGAGAAAATTATGGCCAGCACTGGTTAACTGTATCAGGAATAGGAAAGGCAGGTATCGCGATAACAGTGCCACGAAGGCAGGATTTCAGGGCTCTCTCTACTGCTCATCCAGGGAGGAAGACGACGACTAGGCAGCTACTGACAATCCAGCTTGCTACTGCTATCCCTGTTCGGGGTTTGAATTTTTATTAGTCTATGGGCACCAGCAAGAGTCTGATACTCATAATCCAGAGAAGGGAACAGACAGCGGGAGCCAGAAACAAGTAGGAAATGGAGCAAGAGAGAAAAGAGTGAGAGAGAACAGAGGAGTGCTGACTAATTTTCCCCTCTCCTGGCTTTGCCAGTGGCAAAATCTAGCTCACTCCCTCTGTGCGCTCTGGCAGAGAAGCAGTACATTCCATCTAGTTAAGCTAGTGCAGCATGTGTTATTTAATTGCAGAAAGCAAGGTGGGGGCAGCAGAGAGATTCTAAAAGAAATTGTTTCCCCCTTTTCAAAAATGGTAAGAGGAAGGAAACGGAACACGCTAATATGGAGAACCATTATTCCCTCACAGGTTAGTCAGGAGAACTAAGATCTGGTCCAATCCAGCCACACGGTACAAAACAGTTCAAGCTCTCTGGGTTTGCATTTCCTTATCTGAAAAAGCAGGGGACTGTGTTGGTTCTAAATGTCAATGGTTTTGTATTAAAATATCTTGAGGAAGTAATGAGCATTTTCATGGAAATTAGGGAGGAAATTTTTTAAAAAACACTAATATTTAGTAACACTCACCTTGCGCCAAGGAAGAGGGACTAGGGTTTTAAAAGCATAGATTTGCAACGCAAACAGCCTGGCTTTGTGTACGTGTTCTGCCACCTACTACTGTGTTACGTAGGGCAAGTTACCTAACCTCTCTGTGCTCAGCAGTGAGACCAGAAAACGGTAGCTTTGGATTATATCCCAAAGGGTAGCTG